ATTGTGCCTGGTTTCTTGGTAGCAGCAATTTCTCGGTTCTACTCTGCTTGCTAGAGGCAAGCAAGCGCCTCATCTAAGAGAGGCTTCCTGACTCAGCTTTAGCTGCAAAGCCTGCAGCTCATTAAGAGGTCCTGCCACGAAACACTTAAATGGTGTTGACGAAAAGCTGAACGCATGCTTTTCGGTTTTCAGCCGTAGCAGGAAAAAAGCTGCGCCGTTTAAAAATGCTGGCTTTCTGGGCCATCCTGCCAGGGCAAACTCTGACTGTTTGAGGCTGGAAAGCTAAGGAATGGACTGGATCTAGCTGGCAAAGCCACGCCTTTAATCCTACTGAGATCGCTTGGTAAATTAAAGATTCATGTGGTCAGAAAAAGAGAGATATACAGTAAAGAGAGATTCAAAGACAGAAAAAATTTCTGAATGGTTTAAAGTGTGTTAAAAATATATACAGACTAAAAGTTAAAGTTCTTAAAGTGAAAAACATAAAAAAAGGAAGAGAGTTGTTGTGTGTGGTAGCACACGCCTTTAATCCCAGTGCCTAGAAGGCAGAGACAAACAGATCTCTGTGAGTTCAAGGTGTAGTAGCGTACACCTTTAATCCCGAATGCCTGGGAGGCAGAGACAGGCGGATCTCTGAGAATTCAAAGACAGCCTGGTCTACAGAGTTACTTCAGGTCAAAGATACAGAGAACCTGTCTCAAAAAGCAAAAAGTTAAAAGTAAAAATAAACGAAATAGAGGTTAAAACAAAGCTGTACAAAGATGGAAAATACACAGAGAATCTTGATACTGTATGCTATTATGCTCTCTTTGAATTGTTTGAATGCTGAAAAAGGAGCAACAGCTGCTAAAAGATATTTGTTTATAAATGCTGCTGAACTAATCCAACATAGATATCTTGAATTTGGATCTAAGGATATGATACTTTGGAAAGGAGTTTCTTATTTTGTTTTCACAGAGGATGAGACGCTGTTCATTTCTTCTATTCTGATTTGGTATGATGGACCACGCCCTCCTGAAGGGTTGCAGTGAACATCTTCAGAAAATTGCTTCGCTCAACTGCCAACTGAGATGAAACTAGCACACAGGTTATACCATGAAAGACCTAATTAACGACGCCCCCATTCAGCAGGAAGCAGTTTGGAGAGAAAAAACTGCGCCCATGTTCCCAAATATGGTTTATCAATGTTCTTTTACATTTAAATGGGGATATGATATAGATATGAATAATTTGCATTAGTATAGATTTTGCTTTATTGATAGCGATTTAAGGTCAATTTTGTTAAATGTATATGTATTTCTGATATTGATTAAGGTATTGTGATTGTGTAGTTCATTTAAAAATGTAATGTATATAGGTAGTTAATAGATAATCATAATAGTCAAGTTTGTAGTCATGTTAGTTAGATTTTCTAGATATATAGAGATATATTTTAGATAGACATTCTTCATGTCTTTCAAAGATTACAGAATAGGACATTTAATGTTTTAATAACTGAGGACTTTTCATGACAATGAGACACTCTGCTCCTGGCAGCACCAATCTACTTCGAGAGGAAGATGGGCATCGAAGAGGATCATTATGGAGTTTGATAGCCATTTGGGCAAGAAACTGCTCTTGCCTGGACTACTGCATAAACTGGACACAGAGAACCCGCAGAGAGAGGACTACTGAACTTGCCTAAGGTGAGATGATCTTTCGGGGTTCCTGATTCATGAAAGAGTCTGCGAGACATTCTGCAGGACACAACAGATAGTGACTGAACTGACTTTGAATTTTCCTGCTTTATGGAAATGTCTGCTGGATACCATGGGCCTGAAGGCTGAAGATGGATGCCCCAACGATACAGAGGAACTTTGGGTGACTGTCCAGGCAGCGAGATGTCTCTGTCATTTCTAGAGTTTTAAAAGTTGCTTTTTTCTTGTTTGCTTAGGTAGTAGTGTATCTTTCTGGAGTCTTTGATGGAGTTAAGAATAGTTAGTTATAGTTATAGTTTTCCTTAGTTATGATAAAGATTGTTGTAACTTTTACTTGATAACTGTTTTGTTATATGTAATTTTGCTATGTTAAAGCCTTTTTTTTTTTTGTTTAAAACGAAAAAGGGGAAATGATGGAGGAAGGTCATTGGCCAATAAAGAAACTGCTTGGCCCTGTGGGTGGAGTAAACAGAACAAAATGCTGGGAGGAAGAGGAAGTGAGGTCAGAGTCTCGACAGCTCTGCTCTCCGGAGCAGACGCCTCAGCAGAGACGCCATGCCCTGCTCCCTGGCAGACACACGTGATGAAGCTAAGACCCAGGATGGACTAGGCTAGAATCTCCCCGGTAAGCGCACCTTGGGGTGCTACACACAGATGATTAGGAATGGGCTAAATTAATATGTGAGAATTAGCCTAGAAGAGAATGGGCCAAGCAGTGATTAAATGAATACAGTTTGTGTATTGTTATTTCGGGCATAAGCTAGCCGAGCGGGCAGCCGGGGTGCTGGGGACACAGCACCGCGCCCCTAGTACTACACTTACCCCTTCTTTCAGTTGTCTTGGACCTCCCCATGACAATCGACTAGCCTCAGATTCATAATGGCCCCTTCCTTCCTGCCTCCAGCATGCTGGGATTGCAGACTTCTGCCACCATGCCCAGCGTTTACTTCTTTTTCCACCAGGCTTTGAAATCTCGGCTGACTCCTTTGGCCTTGAGTTCTTTACAAAGCCATTAGTGTTCTATTTCTGATGCATGTTGTAAATATTTTCTCTTGGCTTTAGCTTGCAAGATGTCTGCTTCAGTTTTTCCGAGGTTGAATTTGTCAATCTCTCCATTGCCATTTGGGGCTTGAAGCACAGAAAGCTCCTCCCACACTCATGCTGGCATGACACCTCTGCTTCTTCTTGCAGTTCTTAGGAACTTTGTTTATTCTTGTGAAAACAGTAAGACATGAACTCACTTATATTTTTCCAGGCAATTACCTAAAATTGTCTTAGTTCTTTTCTATTGCTGTGGCTAAGCACCAGAACCAAGGCGACTTCTAAAGGAAAGCATTTAACTGGAAGCCTGGGTACAGTTTCAGAGAGGGTGTCTATGGCCACCATAGCAGGGACAATGGCGGCAGGCAGTCGGGCATGGTGCTGGAGCAGTAGCTGAGAGCTTACATCTTTTTATTATTATTATTATTATTATTATTATTATTATTATTATTGAGACAGAGTTTCTCTGTGTAGCCTTGGCTGTCCTGGAACTCTCTGTAGACCAGGCTGGCCTTGAACTTACAGAGATATGCCTGCCTCTGCCTCTGCCTCTGCCTCCGGAGTGCTAGAATTAAAGGCATGCGCCAGCACCAGCCAGCTGAGAGCTTACATCTTGAGACAGCAACCATGAAACAGAGAGTGTTAACTGGGAAAGGCATGGACTTTTGAAACTGATTCAAAGTCTACCACCAGTGAGATGCCTCCTCCAACAGGGCTCTCATAATTCTTCCCAAACTGTCCCACTAACTGTGGAACAAGCATTCAAGTAACATGAGCCTATTGGGGCCATTCTCACCCAAACTACCACACCAATTGTCTCAGTTTAATTTTGAAGTATAGCTTGTCTTGAGTGATGAAGGATATTACATGTGCCATATAGTCAAGCTCCATGTGCGCTGGTCCAATAACAATAGTGAGTTTGCATGTATTTTTTTTTATGTTAGAAGCAGTCTAGACTTCCTATTTTTTCCACTGGCCTGCTTCTTGATGCACTGCTGCCATGAACTTAATGATAGAGGATTTATGGCATGTTTAATATTTGGACGGATTAGTCCTCCATTAAATATTAAGGTATTTCCTAACTATAAATACGGATTTATTTCTACATTGGAACTTAAAAGTCAATCATGTAAACTTCAAAATAACTTTGTTAGTGATACTTACCAGCTTGCATTCTCACCAGCAATGCAAAAGTGTTCCGTTTTCCCCACAAGCTCTCCAGCATAAGTTGTCATCAGTGTTTTTGATCTTGGGCATTCTTACAGGTATACGATGGAATCTCAGAGTTGTTTTGATTTGAACTTCTCTGATGACTAAGGATGTTGAACATTTCCTTAAGTGTCTTTCAGCCATTTTAGATTCCTCTGTTGAGAGTTCTCTGTTTAGGTCTGTACTCCATTTTTTTTTAAATTGGATTATGTGATCTTTTGGTGTCCAATTTCTTGAGTTCTTTATATATTTTGGAGATCAGACCTCTGTCTGATGTGGGGTTAGTGAAGATATTTTCCCATTCTATAGGCTGTCATTTTGTTTTTGTTGACCGTGTCCTTTGCTTTACAGAAGCTTTTAAGTCTCAGGAGGTCCCATTTAGTAATTGTTTCTCTCAGTGTCTGTGCTCCTGGGGTTCTATTTAGTAAGTGGTTCCCTGTGCCAATGCGTTCAAGTGTACTTCCCACTTTCTCTTCTATAAGGTTCAGTGTGGCTGGCTTTATGTTGAGGTCTTTGATCCATTTGGACTTGAGTTTTGTGCATGGTGATAGATGTGGGTCTATTTTCATTCTTCTACATGTTGATATCCAGTTATGCCAGCACCACTTGCTAAATATGCTTTCTTTTTTAAATTTGATATTTTTTGCTTCTTTATCAAATATCAGGTGTTCTAAGATGTGTAGATTGATATCTGGGTCTTCTATTCGGTTCCATTGGTTCTCCTGTCTGTTCTTATGCCAGTATCAGGCTGTTTTCAGTACTGTAGGTTCGGTTTTTTTAAAAAAATTTATTTATTCATATTTTAATGATGAGTACATCATTAAATGTCATACAATGTTAGAAGAGGGCACCAGATTATGAACCACTATGTAGTTTCTAGAAATTGAACTCTGGACCTATGGAAAAGCAGCCAGTGCTCTTTCCCCGGCCCTCTCTCTCTTCAGCCCCTAGGTGGCTGCTGTCTTAGCCCAGGTTTTCTGTTATAATATGGCTCTCTCACCCACTGCTCTCCCAGCCCCTAACTTCCAGTGCTCCTGTGTGTCTGTATTTCAGAAGTTCCAGTGTGAGCTAAGCACCAAGTGGGTGTTGAATACAGTGAGTACCAGGGCCCACGTGCTGCTGGGGAAGACCCTACAGAACCACATGCTGGACCTCTGCATCGTCAACTCCAAGCTCTTTTGGAGGGCACTGGCCATGTTGCAGGTGGGAGCGTGACAGGAGACCCCCAAACCCAGACCGTAGAAGGTGGTTTTTTTTAATGTTGGGGAGGGGTGTAGGGTTGAGTGCTAGGTTTTCACAGGTGTGTCTTTCTTGGGCATATCATCCTGTCTTCATTGCATGCACACAAAGGTGCATCAATGTGATACTACAACTCCCAGTCGGCAGTCTTTAGGTTTCAAGGTGCAATAGAAACCCAACTAGTAGCTGGGCAGTGGTGGCACACGCCTTTAATCCCAGCACTCAGGAGGCAGAGACAGGCGGGTGTCTGTGAGTTCAGGGCCAGCCTGGTCTACAAAAGTGAGTACCAGGACTTGGAATTGAATAGTTCTAAGACAGTAACCCCGGTGGGAAGGAGTCTTTCTGTTCCTCATGACACTGCTAGCATCTGGCAGAGGGCTCTTGTTGCCTTGTCTTGGGTCATGTGCACAACTTTGAACCAATCACTGCCCTCCAGGGAGAAAGGGCACCTGCTCATCTGCTTTGTGTGTACTTTCAAGAAGCTGGTGGGGCAGGAGGGCTTGATTATATCTACGGTCTCAGAATGGAGACCAACAGTTATCCAGGAAAAGAAAGGGACCAATGCCCAAATGGAGGGAGAATGGATGATGGGCAGAGATCATGATGGACGGCCTTGAAGGTTGCTATCCTTTAGCATCCATTTATGTGGGGTTGTGGGATCACAGTTGTAAATCTCACCAACTTCCCATTCATTAACTCCTTTAACTCAGTTTTCCTTTACACTTTGTGATTATGGGGTTGCCAGGAGAGACAAACTCTCCACAGTGTCTTCAGCCAGTCTTCAGGATCCTAGCCGCCCCACCCCTCTTCTCCCTTTCTTCTGTGACACTATTTTCAGTTCTCCTTGTCCTCCACCCCAACACCGACCTTACTACCACTCCCACAGAGGTTTTCTGGACAGTCCAAGGCTCGCTGCGTCGAGAGCCTCCTCCAAGCAATCCATTTTCCTCAACCACTGTCAGATGATATCTGGGCTGCTCCCATCTTCCACCACGTCCAGGTTGTCCACGAGAAGGAAAAGGTATCCTTTCTTTCCCCTTGCTGGCCATTCCACAAACTCTTTCCGAGGATCTTAAACATCTTAGGAACTTGGTGTGACACTAGATTTACAAAGCTCAGAGATCAGTGCCACACAGAGCTCCCATTTGGAGGGGTAGGTGGATGGGGTGGGGTGGGGTGAGGAGGCATGACAGTGGCAGAAACTACAGAGGCAAAAACGACACCAACAAAACGGCTTCTGTTCTGCCTTGGAGGGGCATCAAGAAGGACTGAGAGAAGGGTCTTAGCACAGGAATTTTCCCGCTTAAGTGAAGGTTTTTTGTTTTTGATTTTTTGTTTTTCGAGACAGGGCTTCTCTGTAGCTTTGGAGCCTGTCCTGGCACTCGCTCTGTAGACCAGACTGGCCTCGAACTCAGAGATCCACCTGCCTCTGCCTCCCACGCGCTGGGATTAAAGGCGTGCGCCACCACAGACCCGCCATCTTCCTATTCTTTTACCCAACCTAACTCCTGTGCCCAATTCTTGTCTCCTCCAGGGTTCTTTCTCAAATGACCTTACCGTTTCTTCAGCTCACCCTGCCCCTTCCCACAGGTGATCCCCACAGCCTTGCTGAGCCTTTTACAATGCTGCTCCATCACAGAGGCTAAGGAACGCCTGGCTGCAGCTCCTTCCGTCTGCGAGGTTATCAGGAGCACCCTCTCTGGGCCGGGTCAGAAGCGCACCACCCAAGCCCTTGGGGACCCAACAGCCTATAGTGCAGTAAATTGATGTTTCTGGGACTGTGAAGAGGCTCTGCCATCGGTCCAGTCCCATGAAGACTTGTTCCATCGATACATGTGGTGGCGGGACAAACCCAATTTCTGGGGGTGGGGGTGGGGGCATTAACAGCCCGGGATCGGGGAAGAGTCACTGGCATCTTCTGATCTCAGAAATAAAACTGATTGTCTTGTTTTGGAACCTAACCTTGCCAAAAGTCAGTTATCAGACTCAGTACACACAAACACGGAAATGGTGGCACCAGGTCATTCCGGGCAAGGAGAAGCTGTGTTTCAGCTATTATCCACTAGAGAAAGACAATCCTGATGAGACAAGAGCCTTCTGACTAGAGTGAATGTCATACCCCCTTAGAGACCAGAGAGCAGAGGATTTTGATGGCACCCTCTCCTTGTGAATGCAAGAAAGAGCAAAGGAACTCTGGCTGTGCTGGGGACCCTTTAGTGGTGGGACCCTACAAACACCAGAAACTTGTCTGCGCAGTTTTAGACTTCAGCAATCACGGTTTTGATAAATCAAAGACACCTGGACTCATACCAGGTGCAGTCTTGAGTACCTGCAGCCAAGGCTCTTACTGAAGAGATCTGGCTCCCTCTTGTGGCAAAGAAATAGCCAGTTAAGAGATCTCACCGCTTCCCCGCCCCCACACAAACACCTCCCCTTCTGAGAGAATTATTTTGGGATATGACTGGGGAAGTCAAGAACCAAGGAAAGTTTTGGAACAAATAAGATTAAAGTGAGGCAAATAAAACCTGAGAATGTCTTGAAGGCTTACAGTGTTACGTTGCTAGGGTTCAGCCTTGTCTTGGGTTCAGGTCCTGAGGCGGGAAAGGGACATCGGCCATGGAAAAGGAAACTTCTGACCAGCAAGTGGGCTGTGCTCAAGTGGCCCCGAATAGCTCAGGCTGTCTTTATTTATACACACCAGAATTTTCCTTACCAGGGTTATGTGAACAACTTTATTATTGGCTTCTATTTTTGACTTTAAGAAATACATCACAATTGAAGGAATACATTGTGAAAACCCCCATTGTTCCCCTTCATGCTTCCCCAAATACACCATCCCACCCGCTACAATACCTTACTCTAGACGTAGAGTTCAGCATTTTTGCAGGCCTTAACTAAACATCGAGCCAGACACAGCCTGCTCTCCTGGCGTGCATGACAGCTGCTTGCAGTTACGAAGTTAAAAGTAACAGACATGGAAACAATGCTTTAAGGACAATATTCAAACCCAGACATTGGTTCATGTCTGCAAGGTGTATTTTTATACAGTTCTTTTTCCTCCAAGAGGGCCCCACGTCTCGATCTCTCTGTAGAAGGCAGACTTTGATAAGGCGCTCTTCCCATCTCTCTGTACCATGCATCTCCCACCAATGTAAGCTCCTGTGCATGGTAAAGATGGATCTCTCCATCCTATAGTTTGCATTGTCTGTTTCCTCTTGGCGCATACGAGATCCTACCAATGCTTCTATGTGTGGTGTCCAGGGAACTTACTCTCAACAGTTGGCACTGTGTGAATCCCTAAGGCTTTCCCCCATTCTGTGTACACATGCCTCACTCCCTTTTCTAGAACCGTGAGACAGAGTGAGCGTTCAAAGTGGTGTTCTCTCATGCGTACCTGTTTCTATCGAATCAGAAAAGTTCCCAGGATTGGGCGTTGTAGTTAGCAATTCCAGGGAAGAGATTTGAGAAGCGTTAGCCCCCTGTTGAATATTAGGGGAAAATATTTAAAAAGGAGCAGAATTTCCAGGGGAAATTACAGCTGTTGCACGTGTGGCTGACAGAGTAAAACTAAAAACCACCCAAAGAATCACCAAAATAATGAGAGAGAAAAGAACCTGCAAGCTGCCTGAATTTTGCAAATTCCTACCCTGGTCTTGCCGAGTGAGAGTTTCCACCGGTGCCTTGCCCTGAGGAAGCCCGTAGAACACGGAGTCTTATGCTGATCCGAGACTAGGCTGCACAGCTCCCAGCATGTGGAGTGAACAAAAGAGAGTTGGGAACTTCTTAGGGGATTCTGGGCTCTAGGCAGAGCTAAAGCAGTTCGGAGATAGGCTAGAACTGAGTAACGCGTGGTGGTGCATTATGTAATCCCTTCATCTGAGAGGGGCAGTAGGAGATTGTGAATTGGAGGCTTCATGTCAAGAGTGCTCTCTCTCTCTCTTTCTCTCTCTCTCTCTCTCTCCAAAAATTATCCAGAGACAGATGGGCTACAACTTGTCTCCAAATAACTAGCACTCTTTGGAGAAAGCAAACATCTGAGGAGAGGAAAACAACCAGAGAAGGCAGCGGCGATCCCGAAATGTTGACAGAAAGCTGACCACTGGATTGAAGAGAAAAGCAAATGACCTCTTGGGTATCCATCTGCTGGATCAAAGCCAAGAGGATTTGGCTTAGGAGGCAGTTGAATACTGACTGTACATGAAGTCTAATATACTAAAAATGGAACTCCATTCGTCCAGGTCAGCTAGCTGTTATTTTCACAACATAGGTGGTGCTGGGTTTAGGCAGCCTTGTATAGGTCTTGAATATGTTAGAGTCTGTAAGGTCAAAGAAGGGAATTTGAACCAGGTAGGGGATGAAAGTACCAACCTGGTTCCATGTATGGGCTCACAAACACAGCAAAATGCCCAGTATCCTATCTAAATTCAAGGCAGATTAGATCCTGGATCTAATCCTATATCCATTTTGGATTAAATGCATGGATTAGATCCTAGTGTTGTGAGGACAGACATTATATATGGAATCCTTTATGGGAGAGGGAAGAACGGGTCCCTTTGTTAGTTAGTGGCTGAGGGTTACAGAGTGAGAGAAAGACACAGGAAGATGAGCTCTGGTTTATAGGGTCCCCGAACTCCAGAATGATGAGACATATTAAAGACAAGCAGGCAGAAGAGCTTCTCAAAGCTAAAGCTGGAAAAAATTGAGCAACAAAATGAATAACAATAGTATCGAGTCATAATACAAAGTACAAAATAAATATACATGCATACATACCAATAAATATAAATGGACAAATAGAATCTGGTGAGAGGGAGACACATCTTTCTTACTCACGAATTTCAAATACTATATGTGGTGTTATAGTATTCCTCCAGGAGATGGAACTTAATCATGCCAGTTCCCGTACCCCCAATAGGAGTTAGATTTATAGATTTGCCCCTTCCAGAAGCAAAGTAGGAGCAAAAGAAAATAATAACTTCAAGTAGAGAAATATGGCATGCACTACCCTACAAAGTACTTGAGACCAGTATCACAAGTTAATAACATGTCACTCTTGGCGTGCTGGAATAAGAAGGAAATGCCACAGCTGTGTATTCTCCACTTCCACCCTGCCCCACCAGCATAATCTCAGTCTAAGCATACAGGGAACATCACAGAGACACAAATTTAGGGCTGTTCTTCTTCTATTATTGGCACAGTGGTTGAACACTGGTGGAGTCCTCAGAGGACTCTGGGGTTTGGTCTCCAGCAACATGGTACTATGGGTTGGATCCTGAGCATCAGTGGGAAAACATGACATCCAAGTGAAGGCTGAGGCTCAGTTAATAGTAAATACGCCAGTGTTTTTATTTTATTTTTTGAGATAGGATTTATGTAGCTCAAGTTTGCTTTGAATTTGCAGTATAGCCAAGGATAACCTTAGATTCTGGATCCTCCTGCCTCCACCTTCCAGGTTTATCTCATGGCGTTGACAAGTGTACTAAAGTTTTATAAGATATTTAGAGTGGGGCTGGCGTCGGGCAGTGTTGGCGCACGCCTTTAATCCCAGTACCCAGGAGGTAGAGGCAGTCGGATCTCTGTGAGTTCAAAGCCAGCTCGGTCTACAGAGTGAGTTCCAGGACAGCCAGCACTGTTACACAGAGAAACCCTGTCCCAAATAGCAACAACAAAAACTAAAGTAAGCAAGCAAGCAAACAAACAAACAAACAAAAGAGTAAGATTGGAGAGATGGTTCAGTGGTTAAGATCACTGGCTGCTCTTGCAGAGGACCTAGGCTGAGTCCCAGCACCCACATGGTTGCTCACAACTGTCTATAACTCCAGTTCCAGGAGATCTGATGTCCTCTTCTGACTCTCTTGGGCACACATGTGGTAACAGACATATATGGAGGCAAAATATCCATATACATAAAATAAATTTTAAAAAAGGTATTAAGGATAGAGGAGCAAGGGTAAATGGGTTTACTATACATTTATTACAGCTTTTGTGATTACTCCAAAATAAAAAGTAGAATTCCTGCCAGGCAGTGGCAGTGCATGATTTACACTCAGATACAGAGGCAGGAGGATCCCTGAGTTCAAAGCCAGCCTGGTCTACAGAGAGTTTTAGGGTGGGCGGGGCTATACAAAACAAACAAACAGGCGCAGTCCTGACTATAATAGCATGTTATGCGTGGGAAAGGCTAAATGAGTTTAAATGATCTAAGAACCCTGAATCATGCATAATAGAATAAATGTTTGATTGATTTAACACTCTGATCAGTGTGTATAGCACACTGAAAAGATACCCAGGGCTGGTGTGATGACTCCGCAGGTAAAGGCCCCGACTTCCAAGCTTGGTAACCTGAGTCTGATTCTCAGAAGGGGAGAGCGCAGGGATGAAGAGTTGGCTCTGTGGTTGAGAGCACTTCTTGTTCTTGCAGAGGACCTAGGTTCAGTTCCCAGCGCCCACAGGCAGCTCACAATCATCTTTAACTCCAGTTCCAAGATATTTGATGCCCCTTTCTGACCTCCTTGGGCACCAGGCACACATGTGGTACAGACACATACAGGCAGACAAAACACATAAAAAGAACTAAATCTAAAAAATACATATTTGGAAAGAAGGAGAGAGTTAACTTTATCAAGTTGCCCCCTGACCTCCGTATGTAGGAGTCAAGCCACAGTCAAGAATTCACCTCTCTCTCTCTCTCTCTCTCTCTCTCTCTCTCTCTCTTTCTCTCTCTCTCTCTCACACACTCACACACACCTCTCTCTCTCTCACACACACACACCTCTCTCTCACACACACACACCTCTCTCTCTCACACACAC